TAATGGAAATACGAGACTCGCCAACACCAATTATTTAATTAATAATCATCTACCCGGTTTTTTGTCTAAAAACTATCAAAATAACCACTCGTTCAGTGATAGTAACCTGATAGCAACACGATAGCAACAATGGTCAAGAAACCTCAGCAACAGCGCTTCCTGCACAAACTCAACAAGTGTCCCCAAACCTGACATATTTGGGGAAATAAACAACCGGGAAAAATGTGAATATTATCGAAATTAAGGGTGAAGCATTGATTTAAAGGGTGTGAAAGTGATCTGTGATGTTGCGGAATTTTTAATAATGGAAATACGAGACGAAGTAAACACAAATTTCCATTAACAGTTAGGGCCTTTTGGACAACTTTGGTAAGCTAAATAAAATAGATTTCGATCCTACTAGTTGGGCTTTATAATCTTTAAACTACCCTGTCATCTGGATACAAAGAGTTGACTCATTATTACCTCGAAAAATACACCTTTGTTCAACACCTACATATTGTTTCGCATCTAATCAAAAGGTAGAAACCTACTAAAACCCAATGAGAAACCTAACAATCAACGAAAAATATTAATCCTCAGGTATAGAGCTTCATAAATACCCTCACAAATACCTTTTATTCAACAACGAGTACATTCAAACATCATTCCTGATACAATGGCGACAGTCCATAATTTCGTTTTGGCATTGTGCTTCGATGCTAAATTCAGCATCTTAGGTTCTTCGAACGGCGTCTCCACCATATGTCACACGCTTCGCGGTCAATGTGGGTGGAGCCTGAGGTTAGGGGGTTGCTCTTCAGGAAAACACACAACTACAAAAAGCACTAAACGTATATTCTATGCTAGTGGGTGCATTACCAGAGGGGCACTACGTAGGTGCGCCACATGATTCTCACGTTCGAGGCTATACGTACATATACGGGGATGCAACTGATTCCCGCACGTATAGGCGGCGATGCCCTGAAGGATGACTCTGAGGTGAGGCGACCCTGAAGAGGATTACTCTAAGACTCTTTGGGGTAACGCGACCCTGAAGAGAAGTGTAGCTACTGCTCCTTTAGACCCTGAGGAGAGAAGGACCCAAATGGGTGCCGATACTATGGGTTGCATCGGTTTTATATTCATATCGTGTAAACATTAGTTTATGCTTTGACCTGCTCAAACTGCTTATTTTCGATGCATCCTATTCTAGTTTTAATGGGTTTTTGATATACAGAGTGGTTTTATTTATAGACCAGTTGACAATATGCACTATCAATATGGGTACCTAATTTATTTTTTCAGACGCAAGTTCTACTCTATTAAAAATCAGCTATCAGTAAAAATAATAAACACACTAAAGCAAAACAGAAAATGTACAAGGTAGAATGATTCGCATGCCGCATGCACTAAAAATTTGACTGATCTGGCTTACCCGCAGGGCAGGCTCGAGCCCGACAAAATCTTTCGGACCGTGACTCTCCCAGGGTTCGAGATCGACCGCGGCGTCTGCGCCCTCGAAATCGTCCACCAGGTAACCTCTGGCATCGTTCTAGGAAACGCAAAAAAAAATGTTTCATACAATGCCAACATTCCAGTTCGCATGATCCAAAAAAAAAAAATCTACATAACACCCGACCGGTAAATTTAATCCCGATCCACCTGAAATCAGACTCTACTTCCACTTAATGCCTCTTTTACAACATTTATTAAGCGCCCCGGTAGTGTACGGACTCGTGTAATCACTCTTTAAATGCATATTCATGGCGCGGCGCCGGTTGGCAAGCCTGTTTGGCTTTAATCCGTCGCCATTATTATTGGGCCCTTTTCGTGTTGGTAGTCGTTTTAGCTTTTTGTTGCAATGTTCGATGAAACTATAAATTGGGATTTCGTTCAATCATGACAACGTCATTGAACTACTTTGCGTTCGATTCTTGATTAGTTGAAACAATTATTTTACGTTTCACATATGGAATCCAGCTATCAAAATAAAATCAAGCCAAAATTCCTCACAAAACAGTTCCAAATTTCTATTAAAAGGATATTAACGGCCGAATGTTGGGGATGGCCAATTCGGTTTTAGGGAGGACGTGAAGTCATTAAACTGGAGTATTTGTCACGAGGACCCTTTTGTAATTGCATCGTGTGTATATGGGATTATGGGACTTTATAGTGGGTCATTTTAGTTAATCTACAACTACAGTAATTGTGTCGTGAATCTTACCTGAAACATGGCTCTGTCGTAGTTTCCTATGGCCGGTATAGTGACACTGTAGAATGCTTGTTCGAATTCTGGAGCATTGTCGTTGGTGTCGTCCAGCTTTACCACGACTCTTGTCGTAGACGAAAGCGGTGGTGAGCCATTGTCAGAGATGAGAATCTGAAACAAATATCAGGACTTGGTGAATTCAATTTTAAAACTGAAAAGGCGAAAAGCTCTAATCACTACAATTCATATTTGGTTTAGAAGAACGTTGTAATGTCGAAAGATGGAGTTGAGCATGGAACTGAGAAGGACAGGGTACTTGTTGTCCTATGAACGCTCCAAAAAATCTTCAGTTAACATATTTCTTGTTTTTTTTGATAATTTGTATGTCTTGAGAGTTTTCAGAATCTTTAAAGTCCTAGGAGTTTTACCTAATAATAAATATTCGAATTCTCTCGAGAGAGATCGACTCTTATTTGGAATAGTTCAGTCTATTTTTTACAGATTCTTCGGGTTTTGCGGCATATGCATTGAGCAACATCGAAAATTAGGTTCCTCGGAGCCTTTGAATGGTCTACATTTTCAAATCTTTAGTGTTGTGATTTCAGAATCTTACTCCAGGAGTCTAGAAATTGCTCTAAGATCTACCAACCAAGGTTTTAACCCAAGTGTCATTAATCAGCAGAATTTTCATGTAAGAGAAAATGTTCAGTTTCTTTCTTCCTGATTTCATTTTCAGGATTTATTATTCATGTTCGAAATAAAAATTTCGAGCGGATTGGGATATTTTTTCCAATGAGTCTTAGGCCAGATTGCACAGTCCAAGTGTACTTGGATCAAGTAGACTTAGATGATCGTCCAGTTGGATGAGTTCTAAGCCGGGTTGACACGGTCCAAGTGTGCTTGGATGATAACTTGGACCAAGTGAGTTAGCAGCCAACCGCCTTACTTGGATGTTAGAACCTACCCAACTGGACTTGGATAATACATTTGATACGATTCAAGTATCCTCCAAGTGCGGCGCGCGCAGTATCCAAGGGTACTTGATCCAAGTACACTTGGACAGAGTCAACCTGGCTTCATCTAAGTAAGTTGGCAGTTCAAGTTTTAATCCAAATACAATTGGACCAAGCACTTGTCAACCGGGCTTTAGGAGCTACCTCATTTTTCAATTACTTGAGTTTACGGTATATAGATTCTTTAGAGTATTGAATCTTAAGTTGTAAGACTTCAGATGCTGTGAAGTCCACCAGATTTTTGGATTCTAAATTGTCTTTACGGGCTTTAGATTCCATAAATATTTTCAGAATCTTCCGAAACCCCCTTCTTTGGGCGTTGGAACAGCAAAGTCTTAACATTGGAAAAATCATAAATTGAAGATGTTGATTGTTTAGAATTTAAAATTCAATAAGCCCCATAGGAGTAAATTCATGACCCTTAACCACATGGATCCTTATTAAGTATAGAGTTCATTTCAGAGTTTGGAATTTTACATTATTCCTACACTTTTGTAGGTTTAATTTTCTACCATTTTGATACCAGGGATTCATTCTTACTGGCTAGAGTTATATTTATATCTAAAAACTACAAAAAAATAAAATATTCGAATGTAAACCTACGTTTTAATGAGGGTTTTTCAATGATATCGTAAACAACCCTAATTTGGTGACATTAAAAGATATTATTTTAGTAGATACCAATTTGGACAGACCCAGAATGTAAATACTACAGACAACAAATAGTTTATAATTGCTTATTTTATCTGTTTATAGTGTTTATAACAGTAAACAAAAATAATAATGTATTTGGTAAAGATGATTATCTAGGGTGTACCACCCTGAAAATAATCATCTTTCTAGGATTTCAAACAGCATACAAAAAAAAAACAATTTTGCTTGAAATTAAATTTACTGAATACAATTTTAAAGCCAGGTTGTGTGCATTTGGATGAAAACTTGGACAAGTAAGTTGGCAGCCAGCCTACTTATTTGAATGTTAGGACCTATTCAACTGGACTTGGATTAAGATTTAAGGGTACTTGATCCAAGTACACTTTGCCCGTCACAACCTGGCTCTATCCAAGTCCAGTTGGATATGTCCTAACATCCAAGTAGGCTGGCTGCCAACTTACTTCAAAACTGAAAGGGACAAATTCAGAAAAAACTGACTTGCATATTTCATAATTTACAATATATTTCTCTTATCAAAATAGTCTTGTTTACAGACAAAATTTGGCGCATGCAGAAAAACAACAAAAACACAACACTAATCGTGATAATTTTCTCAAAACAAAATCAGTTTTAGGAATTACAATAAATTTTGTTTATATGAGATAAGAGGAAAAAATTCTATAAGTGTAGGAATTACATTATGACCATATGCTTTCAATTTCTTTTTTGTGTAATATTTTCTCTATAACATTAAACCACTTTTTTCTTTAGTTTATTTATTTGCTTTGACTTGTCAAGAAATGGTAAATTCTTGCGAATGCCGCATAATATCTTGTGGATTCTGTCAATGTCTCAGATTATTTCTACTTTTCTTGTCCTGTTTCTGTCACTCCTCACCCGTTTCCTAGTTGTATTTCTGCAGGTTTTAGTTGCTTTGCTTTGTCAGTTTCACAGCCAAGCATTTGTAACTGTCTACTTGTTCTATATAGCTGTGATTATTAGGTTGTTTTTTTTTTATTATCATTGTACTATTTTTTTGTTTTATCAGGAATTCCCTAATTACCATAATGAAATTCCCGAACTTAAGACACTTGTACAAATTAATGAGGATACATACCAAACATCTTTTAGAATAATAATCTCAAATCTCTCTTTATCAATAATAATTAATATATTATTATTGGAAATCCAACATTTTGCCAAGACGTACAGAGAAGGTCATCAAAGTTTATCTCGCCACTGTATAAATATGAAAATCTGGTCTTCCAATTGAGTATTTCGATTTAGGACGTTTTGCAAATCGGTGAATGATGATCTTCAAAATTTCGGTTTTGTGCGCTATTGCTGCGGTTAGTTTTGCTCATGGCATGATGATAAGGCGACCATGGCCTATTAATGGTGAGTATTTGATTGTTTTATAACAAAATATAAATTTATTTTCATTATTTCTTAACAATTTCCCAGTTGATGTTGTTTTCCAAGCGTCAAATTCTTGACATGATTTTTCGCGAAGGAAATGCTTTCACTGCTTTTCTCATTGACTCAAAACATTTCATTATTTTGAAATAAACGCAGTTATTATTATTGCAATTAGTAATCAACTACTAGCTGAAAGGTCATTGATAATACCAAAATCAAGTTTTTTTTTACTCTCATTGACTTATCAAGTATTACTATGTAAATAATTTTGATATTCTGTTTTTATAGGACAAATGCTCCTAGGACGCAGATATTTAACGACCACAGAAACAGATGAGGAAACTGCAACAGAACAGTCTTACGAAAAGGAATCTGATCGTTATGTACAAAAACAACAAAATGTCGAGAAGATTTTTATTTTGTCTGACAATAAAGTGAGTTTATTTGGAAGCTTCAGTGTCAATAATCTGTATAAAAATGTTTTAGTTAAATTGGACAGAAGCAAGAGAAGCGTGTTTGGAATCAGGTAGAATGCTTGCCAATCCATCTACACCTGAACAAATCATGCAGTTGAATTCTTATATTTGGGACAATGACTTGTCGCCACCAGATGTGTATTGTAAGTATACTTGCTAATAATATCCTAAATATTGGGTATTTTAATTTATTTGTGAATTATTTAGTTACTAGTTCTCGGATCACTATCTGGAATTTTCTTATATAGATTATGACTTCTATGTTATTCAATATTTTTTTAGATAGAATTCTTTACAGGGTTCTTTTTCATGTCTACAAAACACCATTGTAGTGTTTTCAAAATTATATTCTAGCCCGAGCAGTTTTTTTGAATACGGACCTGTATTTTTTGTTGTTTGCTTCGATAGGAAAGGACCCCGCACAAACCTTACGGAAAATGTGTTTATGTCAAATCGTCTGATTTTTTGATAGTGTGTCAAGCTCGATGACTTGAATAAAAGTTATCATTGCGCCAAAGCCCAATAATGAACAGTTTTTGAAATAAACGCCCTTTTGTACTCTCATAAATATAGGTAAATATGACACAATGACATCAAAAAATTAATTGCCTACAGGTGAAAAATGCGCTGAAGCGTTTTAATTTTTTTAGAATCGGAATTGAACTGTATTGACAGCGTTTGACAGGTAAAAATAGATAGGTGAATTCCCAAAAGTTCAAAAGTTTCCCCACACTTAAACTTTTACTTGCACAACTCAACATCAACCTTACATCAACCGTACAGTTCCGCAACCGTAAATTGTTTTATAGTTTGATCCATTTTTCTTCCGATTCATAAAGTCTTTTTGATCATGGCAATGAGGAATATATTGCACTGTTTCATATGTCCTGCGGCACTTCCTTCCAGATTAATGGTGCGTCTTGTTGGAGATGAAAATGCCGATAAGTGTGCCACAGCTTAACAAAGGCGTCTAGCAAACATCAGGCCTATTATAGAAATCAATGAACTCACAAGAATTTGTCCAGCTGCAACAGATCCATTATTAGGGAAATAAATGCTCTTCAGCGAGATCCCGCTTGTTTGCGGCTCAATATTTTGACGCAAAGTTCAAGCCATTCGTGTCTGATTTGCAACTCACCAAATGAACCCCGATTATCTACCGAGGCCAGGGTGAATATCTTCCTTAATAGGGAGATATTATTATATGTTCCAGAATATGTCAAAAGTTGTGCTCACCATTTGGTCGGAAACGGTATTCTTCTGCAACGACTTCTGCCAGGTTTGAGATTTGTAAACAGGCCCTACATAATTCCAGGTCGAGAGTTGCAAAAGTTTTTGAAACACTTGAGAAATACACCAAAATTGATAGCGAAGATTATTTTTCTGATGCAGACTTTGAAAGCATCGCCCCTATCACGAAAGTTCAGTTTAGAAGTTTATATGATCTTTGCGATTCTATACCGATAGAGAATGGTTATAGATATGTTTCCAGAAAAGATCTACTAGCCTTTTTGTGCAAAATGCGACAGGGATTGTCGGATAGTTTCGTTAAGGCTATTTTCAATTACAGAAGCAGTCAAACTGCAAGTCTCGCGATAGCAACCGTGAGGCAATCTCTATTACAAAGATTTGTACCTCAAAATATCGGTTTTACAGAAATTGATCGCGCCGCATTTATTGAAACTCATGTACCTCCCTTTGCGAATATACTTTACAATGAGAATCCGGGCACCTCGAGAGTTATTGCATATATTGATGGCACGTATTCCTTATGCTCCTAAAAGCTCCAACTTCCAGACCCTGCGGCAAACGTTTTCGATTCACAAAGGTCGTCATCTTGTGAAACCTACACTGATAGTAGCACCAGACGGGTATATTCTGGCAATACAAGGTCCCTATTTTGCCGACTCGCGAAATAATGATGCGGCTGTCCTACGAAATGAGTTTGAACGTGATGCCGAAAACATGAGGGAATGGTTCCAGAACGGCGACATTATTGTGCTTGATAGAGGGTATAGGGATTCAATCCCACTATTACAGGCGCTTGGCATCCAATATCGTATGCCTCGTCGTGTGGAGCGTGGACAACGCCAGTTGTCTACTGAGGATGCAGATGAATCCCGGTTGGTTACCAAAACCCGCTGGATTGTAGAAGCGCGAAATGGACACATTAAAAGCGTGTTCAAGTTTTTCAGCCAAACAATAAGCCTTTTACCGGATTGCGGGAGCTATAATTGATAGGTACCATGCCCTTATAGAAATGAATGGCTGCAATGCTGAGCTGGGTCAATCCATGTTGGAAAAAGCCGGTGAGGTTGAGCAATTTGGTCTGCAAGCGAGTAATGCTACTTGGGAACGGCTGAATGACGGACAATTAGTGGACTTTCCGCAATTGAACATTGAGTATTTGAAAGACTTCACATTTGGTGTGTACCAAGTAACCCTAGCGCAGTCGTATATACAAGAAAAATTGCGACGAGATGGCGATGATGAATTGCAGGTAGACCAACTCGACCCAGAACCGGGATTTATTCGGGCTCGAATTTACTCCCGCTTCAAAAATGCTACTAAGTACCAAATATGGATTACTTATAGAACCGTTCAGGAACTACAGCAACATCCTGAACAAGTGGAAGAAGCAATTTTGGGACATTACTGCACTTGCAAATCTGGTGCAAGGACATTGGGTTGTAGCCATATTGCAAGTTTGTTATGGTATTTGGGTTTTGCGCAACATCAACCCAATGTGCACTATCCCTCAACAATCCTACTAGAAACGGTTATGGATGTTGGAAATCGACATCAGCCATAGTAATAATACTCAAAAACAAAGTAAGTCAGCTCCATTTTTCCATTTTGATTATTGAAGATACTCATATAAACAAAAATTGTACTACCAATGAAATAGTGTTTTTTTGCTAGTCCAAGGCATTCTCCTGGAAGATCCAAAGCGATAGTTTTTTGATTCCACTTATCAGCGCATTTTTCACCTGTAGGTAATTAAGTTTTTGATGTCATTGTCTATAAGATTTACCTATATTTGTGAGAGTACAAAAGGGCGTTTATTTCAAAAACTGTTCATTATTGGGCTTTGGCGCAATGATAACGTTTATTCAGGACATCGAGCTTGACACACTATCAAAAAATCAGACGATTTGACATAAACACATTTTCCGTAAGTTTTGTGCGGGGTCCTTTAATTTGCTATCTGACTAGGGTTTCATTTATCGATATTTTCATTTTCGATACGATATTTTCAAAACTTCGGTACGTCTTGAATTGTATCGATATTTCAGCTTAGATATCGATATCTGTATCTATTGATGCTATACATTAATTTTGGCGTCATCCAACTCATCCATAATCAACTTGATTTGATATTCTGAATTTGACTGTTGATGGGAGTAGAAAGAGAAAGAAAAGTAGCTCATGGTACTCAAATTTTAAATTGATTCGATGTAAAATGGCAACATGAGAAAATCTTGGAGAGCAAATTTGGAAAAACGCATCCTTTCATATTTTGATGATTTTCCGAAAGACTGTTGATGTGAAAACATTGAAACTTTTGGAATGAAACGAGGAAGAACATGAGCTCATCATACTGAAATTTCGAATTAATTCAATGAAAAATGGCAACATGAGAAAATCTTGGAAAGCAACTTTAAGAAAGCAAATTAAGAACAATGCATCCTTTCACATTTTGATTATTTTTCGAAAGACTGTTGATGGAAAAATTTTGAAACTTTTGGAATGGAAAGAGGAAGAAAAAAAGCTCATCATACAGAAATTTAAAATTGATTCAGTGAAAGATGGCAACATGAGAAAATCTTGAAAAGCAACTTCAAGAAATCAAATTAAGAAAAATGCATCCTTTCACATTTTGATGATTTTTCGAAAGACTGTTGATGTGAAAACATTGAAACTTTTGGAATGAAAAGAGGAAGAACATGAGCCCATCATACTGAAATTTCGAATTGATTCGATGAAAAATGGAAACATGAGAAAATCTTGAAAAGCAACTTTAAAAAAGCAAATTGAGAAAAGTGCATGCTTTCACAATTTGATGATTTATCGAAAGACTGTTGATATGAAAACATTGAAACTTTTGGAATGAAACGAGGAAGAACATGAGCTCATCATACTGAAATTTCGAATTAATTCAATGAAAAATGGCAACATGAGAAAATCTTGAAAAGCAACTTTAAGAAAGCAAATCAAGAAAAATGCATCGTTCCTCATTTTGAATATTTTTCTAAAGACTGTTGATGGGGACATTTTGTAAACTTTTGGAATGAAAAGAGGAAGAAAAGAAGCTCATCATACAAAAATTTAAAATTGATTCAGTGAAAGATGACAACATGAGAAAATCTTGAAAAGCAACTTTAAAAAAGCAAATAATCCTTTCACATTTTGATGAATATCGATAGACTGTTTATGCGGAAATTTCGAAACTTCTCATCATGGGTGCCATTGACTTCACGTCCGATGATCTAACAGGCCAGAAAATACATAAAATTTTGAATAAAATCAAGAAGAATATCATTCAGGAGATTCTTGTAGGCTCTCCGGCTTGTTATACATATCTTTCTCCATCTCAATAAGATAAACATAACACTCAAAACGGCCTACTAACATGAAATACATAGAGTGGACCCAGTTCAGCAATTGAAAACGAGAGAGATAGGTATAATAGAGGATATCGTTTTGTCGAAGACAAAATACACCTATAAAACGCAAAGCAGTAATAAGGGTTAATTTTAAAAAATTAAAATATGTTTGATGATGGATTTTTCTGCCCGAAACGTTGCAAACAAAAAAATACAGGTGCGTATTTAAAACAACTACTTGAACTCCGATATCTCTGATTTTGAAAAAACAAAACTGGTGTTTTGTGTAGCCAGGAAAAAGACAAATATTTTGTGTTCATAACTTTTTTTGATAAAGTTCGTAGTTTGCGAGATATCAGTATAGGGTGAAATGTTTCGAGCAAGATAGCAGCTATGTATATTCCGGCCTTATTCTCGATGTTTATATCACATACTGATTCTTCTTTTCATGTCTATTTCCAATAAGCTCCGAAATTCTTCTCCACTCATTTTTGATCGATGGGAGCCTAGTAACCTACTTTGAAAGCTCTCGTTCAGATTTTCCACCCGAGAATCTGGTTTCAAGATTCATCCACTCGTCTGATATGTCCTTTTCTTTTCTCTGGCGTCCTTCCATTTGAAATTCTGTGGTTGAGTAGTCATTCCTATCTTATACTGCGTCTTCTTATAGAGTATATTTTTTTTTGTATTAGATTAAATCACCATTTCTTTTTTAGCTGGATACTGGTTGGGTGGTCACCGTGAAGATGATTCAGGACCATTCAAGTGGGAAACCGGTGAGGAAGTGGAAGAAGGTAGATACAAGACTGGTTGGATGCTGGGAGAACCAAATTACGATGGGGAAAATTGTATAGAATTAAAATCCGATTTAGGAACCTTAGGATTCAATAATTACTACTGCCAATTAGTTAAACGGTTAGTTGATTTGGCTACTACATAATCATACAATTTCTTATAATACAAATTAATTTTAGGTACATTTGCGAAGAGATAGTTTCTCAGGAGCACGCTAAAAATCTTCAGGAAACGAGCAACAATGAAGTTCACGAAGAAGAAAATAAAAACCTTGTTGAATTAATATATGCTACAATGCAAATTTCCGACTCGGACGAATTTGGCACAATACTTATGACACCTAGAAACGATATCAGTGATGAAGTAGATACGGAATCCCCATCAGACTTTGAACAATTTGGAACAATACTCATGACACCTAGAAACGACATCAGTGATGAAGTAGATACGGAATCCCAATCAGACTTTGAACAATTTGGAACAATACTCATGACACCTAAGAAAGACTTCAGTGGAGAAGTAGATACGGAATCTCCATCGGCATATGAAACTTCGGACTATGATCAATTTGGCACAATGCTTATGGGACCTAGAAAAGTCATCATCAGTGAAACGCAATCTACATTGGGATTTGAAACTTTAGACAACGACCAATTTGATACAATAGTTGTGGTACCTAAAAACATGATCAGCGATGAAATTGATCCATTGACATCTGACGAATTTGGAACAATACTTATTGCTCCTGAGAATGTGATCAGTGACGAAGTAGAAACAAAACCTCCTATGACACTCTACGATATTATAAGGGCATTCGAAAAGGACCAGAGGGCAGTAGAAACTTTAGACTCTGACACAGTAGGTGCAGAAATTGAACGTCTAGCTAACAATAATTCAGATGCATCTATTTCAAGAGATATCATGGAGAATAGAGTTGTAGACGCTCCTAATGAGAGTGGCCTTATAGAGCTTATCAGTGGCAATGATATTGTTGCCAAAACCGAACTTCCAATTGATACCATAAGATTGGACGATCCATTCAGTCTTAGACGAGAAGCTGTAGACAGTGACATTGTTGCCAAAACCGAACTTCCATTTGATTCCATGAGATTGGACGATCCATTCAGTCTTAGAAGAGAAGATTTAGATGATGACATTGTTGCCAAAACCGAACTTCCATTTGATACCATGAAATTGGACGATCCATTCAGTCCTTCAGACCCCGACGTGATGATTTTAGGTCGTTTTGAAGATGTGCAACCGGAAACATCAGATAACCAACTTGGAGATATTGAAACTGAGAGAACTGTTAGTTTTCCCATGGTATATGATAATCCAGGATACAGATTTCAAGAGAATCTAGGACCAATTGATGATTATTATGGAGATCTTCAAGATTTTGATAACTGGGGAATAGACAATGATGAATTTGAACAAGAGTGAATTGTTGCAACAATCTAAAAAATTATTATAAATAAAGTTATTATTTTTTTAAGTAAATTTTCAAGACTTTAATTTTGTTCGCTTTATTAGGCGGAATAAAATTAAAGGGTCCTTGACTTTGGACCTTTTTAATAATTATAAACCGTCTGGAGTGCCTATATAAAGGATAGAGGTTGATAGCCCTGAAACGAAGCTGCACAGCTCGTTATAACTAGTAACCCAGTCATTCCCCAAGCTCTAGGATATTATACAGACTATTTAAAATTCTCCTTTACGTGCTAAATAATATAAGGAGTTAATTAGAGAGTTTACAGAATCTCCGAAGCAGCAGTGAAACTGAATTTTTATGCTTTACACACCCTACTTTGAGCTAATGGAAATTTATGAAGAAGATTTTTACTGTGATAATATTTAGCAAGACAAGATTATTTTATCTAATGAATTTGTGATATTCTAATAATGAAGATAATAAAAGTTTGTAAGATATTAACCTCTGTCCTGAAACCTTGTTAGATTTATTGTGGTGTCTCCTATCTCCCCCTGAACAACCCTTTCCCACTATTGCTTCTACTGTGAACCTACCTTTGGAAGTAAAATAATGATTTCTCCATAAATTTTAAAAATGAACTATCTTGTTGTAAAATTTGCAACCATTTTGATGACGCTGCCTCAAAATTGGGTGGTAAAAGCATCTTTACAGGCTGGTCTGTAAATAACGACCTTATCAGCTTCCCTATCTTCTAATAATTAACGACTTTGCAAGTTTTAGGGCATCTATAAAATAACGCCTGGCTGGTGCGAAACTTTGAGAAGTTTCTAATTAACTGCTTAGACGGCGTCCTGAATGACTTTTAGTTTATTAGGCGATACAATATAACATTATACTGCTTAAAAATCTATTTTTCTTCATTATACTGTTCCCTATTATACTAATCCCTATTTGTGACCTAATTTCCTAAATCAGCTTACATTTATGCAGCAAAAAATAAATAAACTACACTGCAACAGATTATTAATAATAACCCTCTAACTAATTAGAATAAATTGCAGCTGGATAAACTTATTTAACTGATATATCTCTGCAGCTTAAAAACGCTTTATATACTCCCCCCAACCTAATTTATCATAATTTCGGAACCGACCCTCTAAATTTAGAGATTCTAGTCGTGGGTAATTATTAAGTCCGGCCAAACGATAAGTCACTGGAGTTGTCTCAATTGCGGTCCTGGATTATTAATGAACAAGTTAGCGTTGCGCGAAGGCACGTCACGGCTTGAAACGGATCATTTTGGTTTGAAATTTTCATGATGAAACGTAATTGTTCGCCTTCGAAACGTTGCGATAATAAACCAGAAACTAGTGGAAGTCTAAAAAGTTTTTATTTTATCCTATTTTGTCACTGTTTTTGTCTAAAGTGTAGCATGTCGTCCTCATTGATATTGAAACAAAATTGTATATCCTCAGCATTAGAAAAGGATTATATTGCATGTATTTTTTTGCATACCAGCTTTAGTTATTTCTCCAAGTGAGAGTATTCAATACGCCCAACTGGTGGCGGAGGACATTTTTCTACAGGTGGTGGTGACCAGAGACGGCCTTGCCGACACCGACCACCTGCTAGAGTTTCTGGACTCCGTAGGAGACCGTATGACTGAGGCCGCCATAAGCAGTTTAGTTCGACGAGACTGTGGAGGGGCAACTCCTAGTCACCGCAGCTAATCGAACCTCCAGGGACTGGCTGCTCAGGGAATTACCTAGTCTAAGACCCTGGGGCAACGAAGTCACACCTGTTACGGTGGATCTGGCCAGGTACAGGCTCAAAAGATCCCCGAAAAAAAAAAAAACACAGACCCAACGAGGAAATTCTCAAGACCCTGGAGAAACAGAATCCTGGACTCTAGTGTAGCCGTTGGAGAGTGTGGGAAAGACGGAAGGACCCTAACGGACTCCGACTCGTCGTGGGCTTGGATGACACATTCATAGCCCACCTTAATAAGGCTGAATTTCAGCCCTACTACACCGCCACGAGGGCTCAGGTCACGCTGAGTCCTGCAGGCCAGCAAAAAACCCCAAAGTAGGTACTCAGCTCGGCAAAGAGCCTGACCGAAATCGAGCCAGAAGGGAAACCCCCAGAACATCAGGAACAAAATATGGACTTGCCAGATGTCAGGGAACCCATAAATGCCACTCCTCAAGGAGAACAAAGAATTCCTGTAAACTTCATATAAGTTGGGAGGTCCTCCTCAGCACTTCTTTGCAGGAAAATAGCTTTGGCTAACGCATGTGTAGCACTGATCCAAGAACTCTGGGTATACCGGGGTGCAGTCAGGGGCTGGGAGGAGGCGGAGGAACAGTCTATTACTACAGACCCAGGGCCAGCGTCTACACAAAAAACGTGGTAGTCGTACCGATGTCAGGAACTTTTACCAAGGATCTGGTTGCGATAAAAATCTCCATAGATGCCAAGGGTCAAAAAATGAATTTAGTTGTATGCTCTGCTTACTTCCCAGAGGACGTGACCAGTCTCCCAAGGAAAATCGTTGCGCTCGTGGAGGAGTGCAGAGCAGTAGAAACTCCCATTGATCATCGGATGCGACTAACACGGTTTGGGGAAGTGGGTACGTCAAGGCCTCTCCTCGAGTACCTCTACTCGAGCGACCTGGACATTGTAAATAAAGGTTTGGTATCCACCTTCTTTACGACAGGGCGTAAGACATAATTTTGTGTAGCAAACAACTTGGCCCAAAAATCATCGAATGGAGGGTGTCTTTGGAAAACTCTCTATCATACCACAGACACATTTTGTTCAGATTCGAGGGAACGTCAAAAATTCCTGAAACGAGACGCAGAAACCCCAGGCAGACCGATTGGAACTCCTATAAGGAGAGACTGTCTGGCAGACTGGTGCAGATGCAGTCTCGTCACTTTGATGACAGCAAGATTGAAACGGCTGCTTCAACGAGGCCATTATCGATTCGTTTCAGACCAGTTGTCCACCACCAAAAAACACAAGCAACGGCAGAACGCCTTGGTGGAACTCAAATATTGAAGACCGCCGTAAAAAGGTTAGAAAGCTCCTAGATAGAGCAGAGAGAATTCAAACTGGGAAGATTACAAATCAGCCCAAAGGAACTACAAAAAAACGTTGAGAAACTCACAAAGAAACACATGGAGAGTCTACTGAAGGGGCATAGAAGTCATGTCTCCGGCATCCAGGCTCTGCAAAGTACTTAAAAAGGACATATGCATGGGAATGGGGGCGCTGGCTGTGCCGGGAGGAGGTTATACTGCTTTCGCAAAAGAGGCGCTAGGCATCCTCCTGGCGACGCACTTTCCTGAATCTCGCATGGTGCTTCAACAGACCAGACACTGAACGCGTGGGTGGGCGTAAACCTGACTACAAGCTGGCGTTCAGGGTTGTTACATACGAAACGGTAAAGTGGACCTTCTCACCATTCAAATCGCTAGGGAGGGTGCTGTGACCACTCTTTTAGTGTCTGGTGGTGGACGAACTTTGGCGGGAGCTGAACACAGCGGGTTACTACACTCAAGCCTGTGCTGGTCATTCTTATCAAGGTCCGGATCGCCGAACGACTTAGTGGACCAATGACACGTGCCCTAAGGCTGGTGCCAAACGGAGCGCTGGAATGTCAACCCAGACAAGGCCGAAATGGTTATTTCCACTAGGAAAAGCAGGCTAGGGCAAATACCTGAAGTTAACCGTTTTAATCACAAACTCAGATGCTCTGGGCCAACAAAATATCTTGGGATCATTATAGATTCCAAGTTGACACGGAGAGAACATCTTGGCAGTAAAATCAAGAAAGCCAATAACGCCCTACGGGCATGTAAAAGGGCTTCCAGTAACACGTGGGGACTGAAACCCAAGATCCACCATTGGATATACACAGGGATCATCAAACCCATTATCACTTACGGTGCCATTGTCTGGTGGCCAAGACTAGGGCACTGCTGGACAGTGTTCAAAGGCTTGCCTGCATTGGACAACTGGTGCCATGAGAACGACCCCAACCAGAGTCATTGAAAGGCTGTTTGGGTTGCCACCGCTCCCTGGAAAATAAAGCCTTGAGATTAGCATACAGGCTGAAAGGACTTGGTCACCTGAGGAACAATAACTATCCTCGGGTATACATATGCATATGCAGCGAAACGACACTGCGTTGCCCAGCTCTACTCACGAAAAGGGACAAGACTCTGCCTAGCAACCGGCCGCAAGGACCTCTCAAATTTTCTTTTCCAAGCAGAGAAGAGTGGAGGAGCACAAGCGGCGCTTCGGAACTTACCAACGGTGTCATCTGGTACACAGACAGCTCCAAGACGGGCAGTGGTCCAGACTGGTCCAAGAACTGCATGAACTGCGACAGTACAGGACACCAGGCTAAGTTGTGCTCCGAAGAACCACAATGCCTCCGCTGCAACGAAATACCCCCAAATACCGAGAACTGCTCGAACAACATAGACGAAAGCGGGAGGAGAGCAACAAGCTAAGTGGACAGTAGAGTTTACATTTCAAGAAAACACAGGTCATTCAAGGGAAATCAAAATACGCCTAATATTCCATACACCTCTATCAAAATATTACAGATAAATCTCAACCGCTGTCATACAGCACACAATCTAGCAGAAGTCACCGCAAGGAAAACTAACATTGATATCATGGCAAGAGGTCACAAATGGAGGATAGTGCACTGACCTAAGAACGGACGCTGCCCTCAAAGCAACCAACCGGGACTTACCCTTCTTCAGCTCGAGGTCAGAAAATGGCTTTGATATATAGTTGAAACAGGCTGAAAGAGCGAAACTGGTTGAACCGTTTCCGTATATGACGTTACCGATGCAACACCAAAATGTTGCGTTTTAAAACGTTTCGAAACATTTCAAAACATTCCTTCAGAAAAAAACTACTCTAGTACTTCAAAGTACGGGTCAAGAGCCAACCTTCCAGGGTCCTTATTCTTGAAACAGGAGAGCAGCGTTCCCAGGAGAACAAATATTCCGTCTTTGTTACTTATATTATCATTTGCATATCATTGAGAAAGATGAAACATTCGTTGTACTGTGAACTTGTTTCAAGAATAAAGACCCTGGGAGGACATTCCTCCTCCATATTGGATCTTACGATGACTAAAGGCAAGATTAGATCTAGAATCGTGAATTGGAGGATTCTCACCCAGAAGACTATGAGCGACTACAACTACATCTCCTTGGAAGTCCAAATAAACCCTTAGCAAAAGACATTGCGTAAGGAAAACTCCTGAAACCATAAAAAAGCTAGACCTGGAACGGATGGAGGAATTTGTTAAAAGGAGAACAGAAACAAATCTGCTCGGCACTCCTGAGCAACTAGTCCACTTTCTGCACAGTCTGTGCGATGCATCCATGCCCCACAAATCGGGTAACGCTAATAGAAAACCTGTTTACTGGTGGTCGCAGGACATTGCCAAGCTAAGGGCTAGCTAGCTCGAAACAAACAGAGAATTAACGTAGACACGCTAGATACTCAAAATACAGAAAACAGTTAAAGCTAGCCATTATGAAAGCCAAGAGATACTGCTGGGGAAAATTGTCCTAGGAAATCAATGAAAACTGCTGGGAAGAGGGTTACAAGAGTGCCATAAGAATGTTCAAACTGTGTTTTGACCATGAAAAGCGCCATGGAATCCAACAAGACCAAGGACTGTATGGGGTCAACCACCAGCTGGAGACCAGGAAATTCCAGAATTGACAGTCAAAGAGATTACTGAAGCGAGTCTCATGCTGAAGGCGCACAGAGTTACTGGACTAGATGGAGTGCCAGTCGACGTCATAAAAGCGGCGGCTCAGAATTGTTCCTGGGTACCCTTAATAAGCTGATCAAGAATGGAGAATATTCCAAAATCTGGAGACCCTCTCGGCTAGAAAGTTCGGATTTAGACAGGGTATAGATCAACAATAATGACCATACAAAGCGTACCTACTAGAAAACTTCAAGAAAGGTTATACAGGAGAAGCCACAGGCACAGACAGGTAGAGATCATTGTCACGCTCAACATCAAGAATGCCTTCAACTCTGCCCTATGGAAGGAGATGGTAGACGAAATTTGAAAAAGAGGTGCAGCCCCATACTTGATGAAAATGATTCAGAGCTACCTGACCACAGAGGCAGAGGGGAAAAGAGAAAACTTCCATATGATGTGTGGAGTACCATTCTCGGCTCTACGCTGTAGAACATCTTTTACGACGGCTTACTGAACGTTAAGCTCCCTGCAGGAGTCACCCTAATGGGTTACGCCGATGATGTCGCAGTGACCGCCCTAGGCAAACAAGTAGAGGAAATTAATTCTAAAATTACAACGGTCATGGCGCAGATCCAGAATTAGTTGTCCAGCAAACATTTGCTTCTAACAAAAGAGAAAACGGAGGCATTCATTGTCTCCTCTAAGCGACAAGTCCCTCAGACCACCTTACAGATCCTGGATATGGAGATTACCCTCAGAACAGAGATAAAATAGCTAGGGGTATGGCTAGATTCCAGACTGAAGTTTCGGATCCACATCCAAAAACTGCGACGCGTGCCAGCAACGCAATGATGGCTCTGGGAAGAGTGATGCCCAACATTGGTAACCCGAGGGCCAGCAAGAGGAGATTGCTGTGTTCAGTGGGGAGATCAATCTCATTATACGCTGCTCCAGTATGGGGCTCCTCAATGCTGATTAACAATATTCGTGTCATATACGAGAGAGTTCAAAGACGCAATTCGAATTACCTGCAGCTATCGTTTCTACAGACGCTTTGCTGGTAATCGCCGAGGTACCACCTATAGACCTTCTGGTGGAGAAAGCAATAGTGGTTCCAAAGGCAAGCCCCTAAAAGAAATAAAACGCGAGCAAAGCAGCCCGAGCAGAATAGGTGGGAAACTAGCATAAAAGGAAGATGGTATGCCAAGCTGATACCGGACATAGAGGCATGGAGAAACAGACTATTACGTGACCCAGTTCCTCTCTGGTCATGAATGCTATAGAGATTTCACCTTTGAAATCGGTAAAACACCCAACAATGAGTACTCTTACTGCAAAGAGCGCGATACCGCGGAACATTCCTTCTAGTCGTGCAAGCGATGGAAAGAACAAAGGGAAAATTGCTACACGTCCGTCAGATTAGCCTTCACATCATAAAAAACACCATAGGTGAAATGCAATCAATTCTGTACCAAGGTGAAATCTATCTTGAAGCTTAAAGGCGAAGAAGAAAACAGTTTGCAGGAGGCTTCAGAATAGAAGTAGGTGTAGCACATCCTGTCCCCTCGAAATAATGCGCGAGCGATTTCAGGGGGAGCAGTAGAGCAGTAGGAAAGGACTTTAGTGGGTGAGAGTCCCACACTTCCTGGGGCGTCTGGACTTCAATGCCCTAGGCGTGCATAATACAGCCAGGTTGTCCTACTCTCTGGGCTTATATGCATCCGCTTTTCAGGTAGAGATCTATGCCATTCTAAGATGTGCTTATGAAAACCTCAACACGGATATTTATGTCTACTCGGACAGCAGGGCGGCACTGCTGGCCCTATCTCCAACTAGAGTGGACTCAGGCCTGGTGGCGGAGTGCAGAACTGTACTGTACGCCGTGACGAGGTGAACTCCATCTGGGTACCGGGATACTCTGATGTCCCGGGAAAAGAGGAGGCCGACCCGACCGTCTGGCCAGGCAGGGTTCAGCAGATTTAGCAATAGGTCCAGAGTCGGTGATAGGCTTACCATACTCGATAGGGGTGATGCTCCTGAAGGGGGAGATGTCGCGCAAGTCCGAGGAGCTCTGGAGAGGCTGCACGGGAATGAGGCAGGCCAAACTCCTAACGGGGGCCTGGCAACCCAATAATGCCAAGGCTGCTCTGGAGTTGGAGAAGAAGGACATCAGGTTACTGACAAGGCTCCCCAACTGTCACCTCAGTAGACATCTGAGCTTGATGAGGATCGTAGTGCAGATTCTGTCTGGAGGATGTGGAAATCTCTATCCATGTCCTTGCCAAATGTCCAGCAAATGCTCGGAATTAGAACCGTGTACCTTGGCAGCTATACGATTGATCCAGGGAACATAGGAGAGATCAGGCCCCGTAAGCCTGAGCCGCGGGGCTAGATTAACTTTCAGTGGGCGCACAATGAGCCAAAATAGGTGGCCTACGTGCAAGGAGTCCTCCGCCCACAGAGTGAGGAAAAAACATGAGTATTCAGGAAACGTGTCACGAAAAATACAACAGTAGCCGAGTCAGTTTATCTATATTTCCTCTCAGAATTCTTCATCCTCGACAACAGGAACAGACTGAGTTTCAGGTATTCTTTGATTCTCTAAAGTTGTCATCTGAACCAATCAGAAGTTGATTGATGAAGTCAGTTTTTGACACTTTCGCAAAAATTGACGTGGTTGAGCAAAAATATTGAATAAAGGCACATAACTTGGCTCAGCTGATTCAGATTTGACCACTGGTAACTTTTAACAAATTCTTCTAAAACTTGACTTTCTGGAAATGAAACGGCAGGTTTTTGGGAAGCTTCAGCTGAACTAAGAAGGTCAGTTTTCTTACCTTCAAATTAATTGATATATATTGAGTTTAGGGTAACTAAAAACTCTATATTTCTAATTTTCTACTGAAATTTACCTAAAAGGCTTTTTAATCCGCTTATGGTCAGTGAATGAATAGAACTTCCCATTAATTAACGAGACATCCAGTTTCGAACCGACTTTTACTCCGGAACAAATGAAATTGAATTTCGGGTCCTCAATAAATGAGCCAATAATTATTCCAGGGACTGAAAACAATGCACCCTATATTTTCCGAATTTTGGGATCTTTTAATGAGCGGCAAATTTGTTTTTTTTTTTTGGGGCCAGTATAATAATTAATTGGTATTCTCGGAAATTCTGAATTAATTTATTTATAAATGCACCGTTAAATTGAATGGTAATTTTCAGAACAATTATTATTAAATCCCGTTGAAAGAGAGAGTTTCATTAAATTCAAAGCTATTAGAGGCAGAAAAAATTAATTAAAACTGGCAATCTGGAAAACTTACCTCCAAAATGTGCTCGTCTTGCATTTCCCGGTTTAGTTTCCTGGCAGTGGTCGTTATGACGCCTGGAAACAAAAGAACAGACGTAATTAAAACTAAAAACTAAGAAGGTCTTGTCAAACAGAAATTTTATCCCTTTAGTTTACAAACTGTGAAAGTTTTAGTGTCACCCTAAAAAGTTCTTATTAATTGTGATTATTTTAGTTACGTACTTTATGGTATTTCATTTTTCAACACCATTATATCAATAATTAAGGAAACAAAGTCAGAACCTGCTTAAAAGGTAATAAATGACTTATTCTGTTCGATTTTTTTTTTTTCAGGAGCGGGTTTGATAAACCGAACTCCGGACGTCAAAAAGCGGCAGCCCATTTCCAAGGGTCTCTGCGAAAGCAGGGAAAGAAAAAAAAACGGCAACGATTTGCTTTTTATGGGGAATCGATGGCCGTAATGCCCTTTTGATTGCTGCGGCCTCGCCCTTATGCAAATCATAACCGAAAGAAACAGATTTGTGCACGTTCTACCAGGGGGTGGAATTTATTATTTCCATTAGGAGCATGTAATGTAATGTATGAGTGGAGAAAAATTATAATTAAAAATTCTAGAAATCAACAGTTCGAGTGGAAAACTTTCATGGTGTAATTCTTATTATTAAATGCAAAATCTAAATTGTTTATGAATAAATTGAACCTTATCAGTTAGAAATCCAAGAAATCCGTATTATCAAAATCGCACAATGAATTGAATGTTATTCAAAAAATTGTTTATTTTTAAATTAATTATAGATAATTGTTTATTTTTTTTAGCGGTTTCCTGATACTTTCTTTGGAACGTTGACTTGGAATATTGCACCATCCTTTATAATAACTTATTGCAAATTAACATTGTAGCGGCCAGTGAAATCGATGATACATAATAAAATTACCCAAACCGTTTTTTACATCAACTTATATTTATATTGATTTCCTACAGATAAAATCATTCGGAGGGTTGACATTCATGACAAGTGAATAAAGAACATCAAAATCGAAAAATTTTCTTGAAGCAAATCCTCTTACTGTCGTGCTTATTCAATGGATTTTATTGAAAATACCCATTTTGTACATTTTTGCACCTCTTGGTTTCTTTACATTACAGTTTACTCCATTTATTGACTTTTTCTCAACACATTTTCTTATCTTTATTATTAAAATCCATTAATCCATTATTTATTCAACACTTTCTGGAACTTCTTCTACATATTGTAACGTTTTCAATTTCTTGGCTAATAAGCTACCTTGTTTTGCCATACTGGATATGATTCCATATAGAGCTACAATGAAATAAATGAATAATCAACTATCTTTTTTGTGCCCAGATTTTGTTACCTAGAGTGCTGCCTTCTATTGGAAGTTTTTTTGGTTCAGGTTTGCAAGTTTGGTTGATTGATCCGGGAAGGTTTGATTCAGTACGGCAGGGCCCGCTGTTATTGATTAGAATCTTAGGAAAAGGAGTTAGTACCATCATCATATCTTCTTCAATTGTGTTTACTCTTTGACTTTTCATTTCCATCATGTCATTGAACAGCTGTTTTGTTTAGGCGTTTTCTTTAGGGCCAAATTATGGACTTATTGGTGAACGTCTGGTTGTTACCTAGCAGGTACTTTCTCTGCACTAGTGAATAGAATGTACCTGCTAGGTAACAACCAGACACTTACAAACCTAAATGAAGAATCTGCCCTTTTGATCTGCGACCTCACGCTGAGTAGTCGTCCGGTCTCGGGCCTCGGCCCTAATTATTTTGGGGCGAGACTTTTTGGAATTTTGTGCCAAGGAGCTCAAGTTTTAGACTAATTTCTTGCTGATAATTGTCTAGAGTCGTCCCTTGGTCATTTTTGGATTCTGTTTCGGTAAGTTTGAGATTTTCTTCAGGAAATATTAACCTACAACACGTGTTCCATTTTTTTTAATAGGACTGTTCCGAGCAGCATTTGGAAGTTTAAGACTTCACCTTTGGTCTAGAGTATCCCTCAATTTGAGGTAAGATTATTTCTAATATTTGGGGCTCGATTTGTTTTTTTATACGAACATCGTTATAGGGTCCTAGTCTCAGGCTATAGTTGGACAATCCTACTCCTACTCCTAGTCCTAGAGCTAGGCTGTAGCTAGACAGTCTTAGGCTATAGTTGGACAGCTCCTAGAAAGAGATTCTAGACTAGATCTAGATTGCTCTTAGTTGGCTTTGGTAGCCTCCCTTCAGCAACCCTCTTGGTACCGCTCTGCTAGAACCACATTGAGTTCTACGTAAAGCAGATACCACGTGGATAGGACTCATGACTATGACTCACTTACCATACCATAGTCTATCTACAGTGAGACCGAACTTGTAGATAGGGATATTCAAAACTTCTGGATTTACACACACCTTTGAAGATAATCAACACTTGTACACATGTAAGTTGCACTTTTTACTATTTAGGCAAATCTTATATAAATCACTTGATACTGATTTACGTTCGGTAAGTGCCTCTTAAATAAAATTTTAGAATTTTACCCTGAGGTTGCCCTAACAATAATTTTCACCTTTCTGACGTACAAGTTTTGTTATAACATCAATAAGTAATCTTCCTAGTTAAGTCACAATTAACTTGGTGGCGCCCAAAGGTAAGATGTATACAAGGAACCCATAGACCCATGGCCGCCGAACTGATGCTGACTAGCCGTATGCAGTATAATTAGGCAATTGCCAAAATAAGTACGTTTGAATATTACGACATAGCAATAAAGGCCATATAAAGTTGGTGGAATACAGTTTTTTAAGACATTTGGTATCATAAGATTTTCCATAGCCAACAACGTTGTCATGTGAGAACCTCTTAACTAGTATTTTATGGTCCAGTTACCTATTTGTACTAGCCACGACGTCATATTGTTTACAAATCTCAGTTATCTGGCGACGTCCTACCTAAGGGGTCCGATAAACCTTGAGCTTACCTCTAGTTGTTACTGTCTGTCAATATAACGACTTGTGATGACCTAAATATCGCTTATTTTGAATTGAGTATTTTGTGGACCTCATATTGACGTCAGTTCTTGACTAAGACTAAGTTAATCTCTGAGGTCGCGTAGACGTAGCCAACTGGTACAAGGTATTTCTCTGACTTTTTTATGACGTCGCGTACAATTCAATTATAATCGTAGTTTCGACGTCACAATTAGGTATCAGAATAACTAAAGTAATCTGGGCTGGGACTCTGTAACGAATAGAGATATTTTCTCTATTGATGTCTTCTCTCTATTGATTGCGACAAGAGAGAAAAAGACAGCAAGTGCCATAGCGATAGGAATAACGATCTCTATCCGTTACACAGTTCCAGCCCAGACGTATCATTCTCGACGTCGGGTTTTGACAAAAATATTACCCGCAGTTCAAAAAGTATTTTCAACGTCGGAACGTCGTTATTGAATGACTTCAAACAAATCTTTTTGGTTGAGTCTTATATCCTAACATTGCGTTTTATTTATGCCTGAACAAATTATAGAATATCCTAGCAAAGTGAGATAAATCAATCTATATAGAGATATTGGCTCAAAAACAACTATAGCATCCCGTATGGGACCTCAGTACCTTCCGGCAGACCGGCTAACTAACAAAAACTCTTCAGTATCGATTATAGGTAGTGTTGATTGAATGTAGTGTGTGTATTTGAAATTTTAGCACAAGAACAGAGGCGATACCTAATTTAAAATTTCATTGACTTAAATTATGGATTTATTGACTCACAATTATTAAAATTACACAGTATGTTTCGATTTTTGAGGAATGTTAGATCAAGGGTTTCTATGCCGTGCTCTTTCCCCTCGTTAGTTCCAGGATGAGAACGGTACGATTTACTTTAATAATAAAGTAGACGTTTCACAAATTTTTCGTTTACGACAACGTAGGTCCTATTTGTTTTTCATTTCATTTTTCAGAAGATTTGTTGTTTAAAAGGTAATAAAAATTCTCATCGTTCAATCTTACTGAGCGAACCCGGATATGTTATACTACAAACCACAGAATGATTAAGATCCAAATGTATTTATTTCCTATGCACATATATTCAACTCCAAGCTCAGTTACTGACAAACAACCTAAAAATTAACATGTTCCCAAGTTAATTATTAGGAAAATTGATTACAAATATCATTAAATAGTGAATATTCTTAGGGCCCCCGCTTTTTATGAACTTATCGTAACAATTATGGTCAATAGAGTGCCATGCGTTTGGAAATTGTCGCCACACTAAATGTCTAGCTCAAGTTTTTTTCACCGCCGTTTTGTATACATATAATTATTTATTAATATCTATTTCAGCAAAGGTGACAACCAAGCATCTGTTCTGCAAAGTCATGTAGAGGATTTTTCAAATTACCAATAGCATGACATACAAAAAAATATACCTAATGTGATTAACAAGAAAAAGGGATATGTACGTTGCAAAAATCTTAGAGTGAGGTCGCTACAACTCTATAATCTGACTCGAAGTCGGATT